GTTGATGAGTGCCATCAAGTCGGCTCCAACACATAGCAACCCTGCATAGGGTTTCCAAGGAGCAGCTTGTGAGCTTGAACCACTGACCTTGCAGTTCAAGCCAACCTTGCAGTCCCACACATTAACCCACAGCACCATACCAGGACGCCTACACTGACTTTGGTGGTAGTGTGCCCTGGAGTCGGCTCCAACTCATAACGACCCTATATAGGGTTTCCAAGGTTGTAAATCTTTATGGGATCTGAAAGGACACTGGCTTTGGGAGATACAGTTTTCTCTTTTCATCTGAAGGGGCCTCTGAAGACAAATATGAAATATTCATTTAATGCTTCTAAGGGAAGTGTCTTTTTGTAGTAGATTCTCAGTGAATCTGTATATTTGTCACTCAATATTTTAATATTCAATATTGTTATATGAAATATAATGAAGAGCAACTTTGACAACTGTACTCTAAAACTCTTAGAAAGTTTTGACTACTGTAGTCTGAAAAATAGTTTCCCTTTTGTAAAATGAAGATTCAGTAAAACTTTACCATAATGCCATCAGTGAAGTTCAGCTGTCTAGAGTGCAAGGTCACGTGATTATAAATTGATCTGAGCCACCCGCCACCACTCACCAGCCTGGAGTTGTGAGTCTGTAGAAGAAACACTGGACTGGTCATTTCAAGATCTGTGCTTCAAACCCACCACCTGCTTCTTGGAAACCCTACACAAAGTCGCTCTGAGTCAGAATTGATTCCAACAGTCTGTCCTTGTTCTGGCCGTGGTTTGGTGCCATCTAGTGATACTTGGCTACTCTAGCTTAAATATCAATGAGGAGGATTCTGGATCCTGCGCTAGATGGGGACTTTCAGGATGATGATATGATTCTCAGAATTCCCAAGCTCATTGGTGTCTTCAACTGGGTCTTCTAGAGAAGCAAAACCAATGAAGTTTATGTAGAGTTCTGGTGTGGTGCTTTAGGAAAAGCACTGGACTGCTAAATTCAAGGTCAGTGGTTCAAACCTACCTGCTGCTCCTCAGAAGCCCTATACAGGGTCATTATGAGTCAGAACCAACTTGATGGCATTTAGCAACAACAATATATATGAGTAGTCCTGGTGTGACACTGTGGGTTGAGAACTGGACTGTTACCTGCAAGGTTGGCAGTTCAGACCCACTAGCCACTCCTTGGAAACCCTATACAATGTCGCTATGAGTTTGAACGAACTCAATGGCATTTAAACAACAACTACAAATTATATATATATATATATATATATACATACATGCTGCATATATGTAATCTTCAAGCTTACTACATAGGCTAGTCTCTCTGAGATTCCATCCCCTCATTTATGAAATGGAGATGATCACATTTAACTCAGAAGCATTGTGCTTGTATGGAGAGAAAAGGAACCCAGTGTGTTGCCGCTGAGCCCATTCTGACTTGTGACCTTGTATAGGGTTTCTAATGCTGTTTATCGTTTCGGAAGCAGAAAGTCTCCTCTATCCTGCAGAGTGGCTGGATTTGAACTGTTGATCTTGTGGTTAGCAGTCCAGTGCTTATCTTACAGCGCCACCTTGGAACCAATACAGAAAACTGGAAGCACTCCCAGATACCATTTCTGCCGATTTCTGAGAATAATCATTTCCCATGTTTTGGGGCTGCTCTGTGTTGTTGACATGTGATGTGTTTTATTTCTGCCTCAGTCTTAGGTCTGCACTCTCCATGCTTACTGAGAGTTAGAGTAGCTGACGGGATATTTGTGCACGTTTCTGCAAAAGGCATGTACAGGGAGGGGAGCTGTGAAAAAACAGCTTAGGTGGCAGTGTGTTATTTTCTTTTTAATTTTTCATGTGTAGTGAATGAAGGTTTACAGAGCAGATCATCAGTTTTACATCCAACAAATGATATACTTTGCTTTATTACATGATTGCAGTCTCCCCTGTGTTTCGCACTACCTTCATCGTTTCTCTGCTAACCTCCCTCTCTATATTGCCTGCCCTGTCACCCTTCTTAACATGTGTCTACCCTCTAGCCCATGAATCGTTTTCCCTTCCCACCCCCGTAGCCATCATAGATTTCTTCTTTTATATTTTTACATTGGTCTCATACAAGTGGCAGTGGTTTCTGAGTACTTCTCTTAATGTATGAAAGTTCCAAATACAGTACCCGAAACACAGAAGGCACTCAACAGTTTTCATATTCTTGCTCTGATAAAAAACAAACCAATGCATTTGGATATGAGATCTAAACTGGTGGCTTATAAAAACTAAAGTTTTAGACCTTCAGAGCAGACTAAAGCCCCAGCCTCTTGAACCTTTGGGGAGAGTTCTCATTTTTTTAAAAATAGAGGAAAAAGATACAGTCACTAGACCCCTCTGCTGGCCTCTGGTGTCTAGAAATGGGACTTCTCTGCTCTAAGAGCAACCAGTTGGGCAGTTTTTCAAATGTTGATCCGAGTGATACTCATTATTAAAAGTTTGAGACTGTGTCGTAGAATGTGTCACAGAAGGAAACACTACCTGGTGCGCCATCATCCACACAGCTTTGAGCCCATGGTTGCAGTCACTAGATCAGTCTGTCTTGTTAAGGGTCTTCCTCTTCTTGGCTGACTGGCTGTTCCTGATAATATGTGCAAAGGCCTTGAAACAGAATCACATCCTCACTTCTAAGGAACATTCTGGCTGTACTTCTTCCAAGACAGATTTATTTGTTCATTCTTCTTGCAGTCCATGGTATATTCAGTATTCTTTGCCAACACTGTAATTCAAAGGCATCAATTCTTATGGCTTCCATATTCATTTATTTAGCTTTGACATGCATATGAGGCAATTGAAAATACACCGGCTTAGGTCAGGCACACCTTACTCCTCAAAGTGACATCTTTGCTTTATGACACTTTAAAGATTTTGCTGCACATTTTCTTAATGTAACATGTCATTTGATTTCTTGACTGCTGCTTCTGTGGACGTTAACTGTGCATCCAAGCAAAATGGAATCCATGACAACTTCGATCTTTTCTCCACTAACTTATATGGTATTATTTATTGATCTAGTTGTGAGGTTTTTTGTTTTTGTTTAATGTTGTGTGTAATCACTACTTAAAGCTAAATTTCCCTTAATATACTGTACTCCCTACCAGTGTTACTAGTGTTTGAGTACAACTGTCCTTTTTTCCCCTTTCGTAAAGCAGTGACATGTATATTAATAACTGAAATAGCATTGTTCTGTAAATACTGTTTCTAGCTTGCATTTTTCTATCACTAATATATTTTGGGTACCATATCAACACTTTGAGCCCACCAGCCACCCTGTGGGATAAAGATGAGCCTTTCTGTTCCCTCTGAAACCCTATACAGGGTCGCTATTAGTTGGTACCAACTCGACGGCACATAACAACAGCAGTATAGTATCAGTGTTTTCTAATACCATTAGAACACCAGTTTGAATGGTACTGTAGATGGCTGCATAGCATTCCATCATTTAGATGACCTGATTTCCTATAACCATTCCTCTGATGCTGCCGTTGCATTCCTGGTTCAAAGCTAATTCCAGAAACACCTGGTGGGTGGATCAGAAAACAAACATTTTAAGGTTTCCACTCCAGTTAGAGTTAATCATGAACACCTCCATTAGTTGCTGTTGGTAGGTGCCGTCGAGTCAGTTCTGATTCGTAGCGAGTGCATAAGAGAATGAAACGCTGTCCGGTCGGTCCTGCAACATCCTCACGGTCATTCTGCTCGAGTTCATTGCTGCTGCCGCCATGTCAGTTCATCTCGTTGAGAGACTTCCTTGTTTTCACTGACCCTCCACTCTACCAACTGTGATGTCCTTCTCCAGGAACTGGGTCCATTGTAATTGGTAACATTGCTTGTAATTAGTTTAAGAAATCCTTACTGATGTCATTGATGAAGAAGTGCTTGCTTAAATTTGTGTTTCTTAGACTACTAAGGTGTTTAAAATACTTTTGCATGTTTAATGATCATTTATGATGTATGGGGTAGAGGTAATCTGCTATCTAAATAAAATAATAAAACTGTTGGTTCTCAGCTCAGACTCCTTAGAACGCTATGGATCCATTCCTGGAACTGAATTGTAGCTCTGTGTTGTCCATACGATGGGGTCTCTGCAAAAGTCCGTACCCTTCCCAGGCAGCCTTCTTGCTCTCTCTGGTGGCTTCATCCACAACTGCAGCCTTCCTGGGCCTCAAGGGTCTTGATAGCAGAGACTTCCATAAACATAGTCCTGTTTACCTTGAACCTGGGGCCCTGTTGAGTCTTTCCATAAGAGATTAAAGGAATTGATAAAGTGTCTGATTGTCAGTGTTCTAGCATTATGGAAAGTACATCTATGTCTAAAGAGCTGGGGTGCATTTTCCCCATGCCTGTCTCCCAATTTAGATTAAGAAAAAACAAGGACAACTACCCTTCCCAAATATATGTTTTCTGTTGTTCAGTAGGGGAAAAAGTTAAAATAAAATGAAAATGAATCAAGTTATAGAATTTTCCCAGTAGTTTGTCATAAACATCCCTAAGAATATGTACAAAGGTCACTGTCCCAAATGCTTGTGGGAAGTAGCAGCTTCCCGAGAGACTTTTTGCCTGGCATCCCTAGGGGGGGCTTCAAAAACTTAGTGGAAACAGTGGAGTGAGAAGATAATAGAATTTTTCCATGAACTTTTTGAAGTCCTTTGTATCTTGTGTGTGGCCTCTATGATATGGTCATCAAAAGTTTTGCTGGCTTCTTTCTAAGCAGTGAGGAGGTGCTAGAAGGTAGATATAGGATGATTCCCAAGTCAGCCTTCAAGTCTTCGTGCCAGATAATCTCAGGTTGTGCCTTTTGATCCCAGTCTGTCCATTACCAATGGCTACATCTTTCAGTAACAGGAATTCATTATTGGCAGTTAACATTTATTTGCATATTTATTTCTACTTTAAAAAAAAATTATCCTTCTTTCCCCCCTTTTTCATTGCATTTTCTTTTTAATTTACCTTTGTATGTTTTATTTCCCTTAGGCCGGAAGCTGAGGGGGAAAGCCTTTTATTTTGTCAACGGAAAAGTGTTTTGTGAGGAAGACTTCCTGGTGAGTATGTCCTGGTTCTTCCCACCCCCAGCCCAGAGGGGTGGGGTGTGGGGAGCCTGGATCCAGGCAGAAGCGAGCAGCCTTTCTGTGCTGGTTACAGCCTTAAGACGCTGGCCTGCTAAAGTGAGACCATGACTTCCCTTCCATAGAGGCACGGGATTACACTTGGTCCCTGAGGGAAATGGCAGACTGCAGAGCCATGTACTTTGAAAAGACGTTAGTGTCACTCGGCTAGTCCCTTTGTTACTTTCCTAAGTTCCTCCTCTTCCATCCATCCTGAGCCCTCTTTTCCTCCCCACCTGCCTGTTCTCCCTGGGAATCCAGCTCTGCTCTTGTCCATCCCAGGTCTGAACTCCAGGTCTGACCCCCATCCACTGGACGTGGCCCCCATAGTGCTCCCTGCCCCTCACACTCTTTTTGTCTGAGAAGACAGCATCAGCTTGCCTTGTGTCCTGTCTCTGAGTTTGATGTCTAATCCCCACCTCCCTAGAGAGCTCCCCGCCCCCATGTCTTCCTGAATGCAGCCAGGCATTGAGCCCTCTGCTCCTGTGCTGTGTGGGTCTCTGCCCCAGTCCCCACCCTCATTGTGGCCTAGCTGGGCCAGCTTAGCAGCCCCCTCCCTTGTTCATGTGACCTTCCCACCCAGTGTCTCTAGGATAACAAGCAAGCTGGGATGAAAGGTCTGGAGCTGCACCCTCTGGCCTATGCCTTTTACTGTCTCTGTGTGGCTTGTTTCCTACACACCCACAGCCCCCCAGACCCTCGTGCCCCTGCTTGTTCTGTTTGCCCTGTTTGGAATGTCTTTGTCTCCTTCTATGCCTGGTTCATTCCAATAGCCTTGTCCCTCCTCTGGGCTGCCACTGTGCCTGGGGCCTGCCCTGGCCACACACACAGCACACTGCATTGTTGTTGTTTGTAAGCCTTTCTCCTCCACGTCACTGTGAGCCCCGAGAGAGGAAAGAACATGCTTTTTCACCTTTACATCATCAGACCCTAACATGAGGCCAAGCATAGAGTGGGAAAATGGACCCTTCAGGTTGGAAGGCACTCAGAATACGACTGGGGAGGAGCTGCCTCCTCAAATTAGGGGCCTTGATTTGTTGATGGGGCACAACTCAAAAGAAAGAGAAACAACTGTAAACATCCATTAATAATCAGAACATGGAAGGTACAAAGTATGAATTTAGGAAAATTGGAAAATGTCAAAAGTGAAATAAAGCACAATAAACAGCTATCCTAGGCATTGGTGGTGGTGGTTCTGGGCTGTGATGCCAGTTCTCACTCATAATGACCCTGTCTAGGGTTTCTGGGGCTGTGACTCTTTACAGGAGTGAGTGGAAAACCCCCATGAAACCACTGTTAGTTTTGAGCTGCTGACCATGAGATTAGCAGCCCGACACAAAACCACTACACTACCAGAACTCCCTATCCTAGGCATTAATGAGCTGAAATGGACTGGTACTGGGCATTTTCAATCTGAAAATCATGGTTTACTATGCCAGGAATCACAAAGAGGAATAGCATCACATTCAGCATAAAAAAGAACTTTACAAGATCTATCTTGAAGCACAACGCAGTCTCTGATGGTGGTGGTGGTGGCTATGTGCCGTGGAATCGTTGGTTCCGACTCATAGCGACCCTGTACAGGGTTTCCAAGGCTGTGAATCTTTATGGGAGCAGAAAGCCTCATCTTTCTCCAGCAGAACAGCTTATAGTTTTGAACTGCTGACCTTAAGGTTCACAGCCCGATTCCTAACCACTACGCTACCAGAGCTCCTTTATTATGTATGACTACAAGGAAGAACAGTTAATACCACTTTTATTTAAATTTACACACCAACCACTAAAGCCAACGATGATGAACTTATTCTACCAACGTATTCAAGGAGCTCTGGTAGCGTAGTGGTTACAAATTGGGCTGCTAACCTCAAGGTCAGCAGTTCTTAAACTACCAGCTGTTCCGTGGGAGAAAGATGAGGCTTTCTGCTCCCATAAAGATTTACAGCCTCAGAAACCCTGTGCAGTGTCGCTATGAGTCGGAACTGACTACACCGCACCATGGGCAAAATATTGAAAGCTACAGAAAGCATCAAAAGAAGGTAGAAGGACTATACAGAGTCTCTGTACCAAAAAGAAATGGCTGATGTCCAACCATTTCAAGAGGTTGCAT